TGAAGTGTGGGGGGGGTGGGGGAAATTGAAACTGGTCTGAAGTTGCTTCTACTATAATATTGGTTCTTTCTGTCTGAGTGTGGTTTTTCTGCTAGCTACTTCTGTACCTATTTAGTATTCTTACCACTGACTGTTCTGTTAACCTGCTTTAGGATTGTCACCCTGACTCATCATTTTTGCACTGCACCGATGCTGCTTTCAATTAGCACTGTAAATACTTCCATGAGAAATGTTTTCAGTTTTCTGAGTTTCTCCCTAAACACTTCAATTTCTACTGTATAGTATCAATACTGAGGTAGATGATTACTCAGTAAGTGTGCAATTCAGTTTCAAATAGTGAGTCTTACAGATACTGGCGTATATTTGTATCTGTTAATATCAAAAGCCTAGACTGCTTCCCAGTGAAGTGAAAGGAGATGTCAAGGAGCTGATAATTAGTTTCTGCAGCTGAGGCCAATTTCATGCCAGCTGGAGAGGATTTAGAGGCAAGAGGACTTCGATACACAAGCAAGCATATTTCATGTTAGCTTGGCTGACAAGGTTATCACCCCACCTCTGCTGTATAAATGGGTGAGCGGTGTTGAAGTAGTTATTGAATCACCTCAGTTTAAAGCCTGTTCTTATTTGTCTGCTTGTCTTAGAATGACAGCCTGTCAGCTGTTCAGTTTGGGAGCTGCTTCAAGAGCAACTTCATCCATAATATCGTGAGAGGTATTGGAGGACAGTGATCTCATCAGCTATACCAGCATAACTCACTCCTATTAATGTGTTCCAGCTTTACTCAAAGCTACTGCTGTCAGTAATGACTCCCAGTGAGCAAAGATACGGAAATAACCGAATATAAATCTAAGATGGCTCTTCCTTTACAAAGATAAGTGCTTTGTATCTGTTCTAGTTATGAGCCTTCTCTTTTCCCTGTGCAGCTCTCCTTTTTCTTACAGAGGTTATTTATATTTGTGCATTAAATAATTTACTGTCAGCAGAGGCTTTGAAGCAGCGAGTTTTTCCAAAATTGTCATTACACCTCCTAAGAGCTGTCATTGAGTGTTCTCTTTCCAGACCAATTTAAAGCATAACATTTCTGGTTACTGTCTCCTTCAGGGTTCACTTGCTATCCTGACTACTTTGTACTCTTCCACTAAATCATGACACTTCCCTATATAAGCAGGTTGGCTACATTTAAAATGTAGGTAGGTTAAAGAGCATGTTATTAGCTGAAAAGGATTCAGGTTTAATCTTTGTGTTTGAACAGCTTCTGTAGAATATGCTGCTGAAATGCTTTACAGAGCCTGAAAAACACACCCAAACCCACTCCATTCTGTAGGTGATTATGTTGCGTAGTGCAATGCTCTGATTTTCCTGAGCAAACTGCATTCTGTCAGAATGCTTTAAAATAAAATCACATTCCATGCAGATTTTTCTGAACTTCCAAATCTTCCAAATGAAATGCTGACATCTGTGAAAATAATACCGTCTAATTAACCGGAGTCATAGAAACACACGACTGTATGTTCCTCACTTCTGCAAATCGGCCTTTGGCACATGTTGCAAAAATAGACTGTAAAATATTTGAGCTTCTTCATATATTATGCAAGAGTTCCTGAGGCAAACTGAATGTATGCATACAAAGTTGTCATTCAATGTTTGATGGCTTCCAATGCAAGTATTTCAAAATTTCATTAACTTTAGAAGTTTAATTAACATTTTACTACCTTTTTATGGCAAGTGGAATTCAAAAATATTTTTTAAACAACAATGCTAAAGTTCTATATGTAATGGTTCAGATAATGCCTTAAGAATATTTTTATCTGACTTGTTGGTTGAAAACATATTTTTAAAATAACCTTTTAAAATTTATTTAGAATCATGAAATTTCTACCATTCTACAGAGGCAACATCACCGAGTTCGATATTCAGAATCTGTGGAAACTGGATCTGTTATTTTTTCTCTTTCTGGTACAGTACATTGAAGTTTATGCTTTTAAACTCAAATTTTAATGGGGTACAAGATCAGTACCTGTTGTAGGCTACACAGAACTGAATAAAAGCTGTCTTGTTGGAATGTCTGGCAATGGTGGGTGGAACTGTGCTGATTTTATGTAAATCAGAGGATGGAGCAGAGAACTTCGGAGAGGAAACATGTTAACTGAATTTTACTTTTTATTTGATGCATTGTAGAACACAATCTGATAGAAACTTATAGTGATCATCAGCTCAACAGTTTAGTTAATTCTTATTGTAACTTAGCAAACACGTTGAGTGCCACTAACACGTAAGTCAGCCATCAATATCATTAGTATTTGTGGCTGTTAACCCAAGAGTGAACCAAGACCCTTGGCTTTCATCTTCCAGGTTGAGATGCAGACCTAGTGGTAGCAGAGGAGTTAGGCGAAGGTTTATTTGAGTAGGTTTCATTAGGAAATTGCTGAAACTCCAAACATGAAATATCTGTCCTTCCCTTTTAGAGCAGAAGATGCTTTAGACAGATAGATGAGAGAGTCCTTGATCTGAAGTTTTGTATGCTTGAATGTTAAGCTTCCTAAACTTCAGCCTTCTTAACTTTCCCTTTCAGAACAGCTTTGTTGGTGGGGTTAAAATTTCATTTTTCATGGTAAACGGCTAATATTTAAGATGTTACAGGTGTGTTTACCTCATTCAGAATTAGGACTTGCTGAGCTCTTCAATCAGTCTTTGCATTTGGCCTGAATTTATTCCATTATAGCAGTTGCTTGTGGAGAGAATAATCACATTCCTGCCATGATGTGTATATTTACATCAATTTCTTCCGCAGGTGTTGCATTTCTACTGTCAGACACTCAAGACTTGCTTATGAGAGGGGAAGAACAGTTTTCCAAAAGAATTCAGAAGTTCATAAACATTCATCGGAACAGTTTTTTGGTTTTGTCAGCTGCTCTTCATGGTCCAGAAGAATGGAATGTCATGTTTAGGATTCAGAGGAGGTATGATTTCAACATCAAACCAAGCTTTTTATTGCTAAGAAAAAATGAAGTAGCAGTTCTAGATTTGAGAATATTGTTTTAGGAAGTAGTTTCAGGAATATTATTTTGCTAATGCACTGGGAAATTATTTAAAGCATATCGTTTATGAATGGTAAATGAAAAGAATACTAAGGAATCAATCTGACATGTCACAGGTAACAAAAGAGGACGTTCCTCAAAACATAGCAAATAACATCCCTTTCAATCACTTTAGGGCTACGTAACAGAATTCTTTTTAAATTTTTCTCTTGATCTGGAAAATCAGGCAATTATCTTAGCTCTGTCAACATCTTTTCATGGTCATTTTCAAAAAGGAACAGGCAAGTTTTCTTCATGAGAAAAGGTTTTACCAGCTTTGAAAATCTGTTTCCT